GGTATATCCACTATATGTAGACATTTTTACTTAATATATTTTGACTGAAGTAAATCTAAAAATTAATCTTCATAATAGGCTATATTACTATCATTAACTCTTTTAAGAGTTAATTTTCTTGAAAACATCTTTAATCACAGCCGATATAACCATGACTATATGGTCCACGTCTTTCTTTTTAAGAATATAAGGAGGAGCAAGCATTATATGGTCTCCACGCACACCATCTGCAGTACCAGTTCCAGCATAGACTGTCATATTATATGGAGGTAATAAGGCAGTGTTTTTTATATTTTCTGCAATATCAAGTTTACGATCGAAAGGCTCCTTTGTTAAATTATCTTTAACAAATTCTATTCCCCAGAAGAGACCCTGTCCCCGGATGTCACCTACATTAGGATGGTTACCCAGAACGGCTTTTAAACGCACTCCTAAATACTCACCTAGTTTGGAAACATTATCCATCAAATTACCTTCTCGTATAATTTTTTGGACTTCTAGAGCAGCAGCCGCTTGTATAGGCATGCTCTGGTAAGTTTGAGCATGAACGAACCGCCCTCTTTTTTGCAATACATTAAACACCTTTTCCGAGATTAACACAGCCCCTATTGGTTGGTATCCTCCTCCAAGTCCTTTAGCAATAGTCTGGATGTCAGGCACAACATCGACAGCCTGTCATGCATGCAATGTACCTGTTCGGCCCATTCCACACATTATTTCATCGAGTATGAAAAGAGCACCGTATTTGTGACAAACATCTCGCATTGCTTTCAGATAGCCAGGAACATGTGGAACACACCCAAGCGCAGCGCCGACGACTGGTTCAGCTATAAAACCGATCACTGTTTCTGGCCCTAACTCTATAAATTTAGCCTCGAGTTCAGCAGCTTTACGAGTAACAAAAGCTGCATCTGATTCGCCTTCTATCCGTTGCCGGTATGGGTTACAAGAGGAAACATGGTGAACATTTTTCATGAGTAAGGGTAGATAAGGTGCTCTGCGCTCAATATGTCCTGATATGCTCAAAGCACCGATAGTAACACCGTGGTATGAATTCTCTCGGGCGATAAAGTTAACACGTAGTGTTTCTGGGTCTTGATCAAAAAAAAATTGACGAGACAGTTTTAGAGTAGCCTCGATAGCCTCTGAACCTGAACCACACAAGTAAACTTTAGCCATTTGACCCTTTGTTCCATTGATCAATTCTTCACACAACAGTTCAACAACATTATTACCCCAAAATGAGGTAGATAGGTACGGAGTTCCTGTATCTAATGCCTTTTTCATGGCTTTAATTACTCTATTGTTACCATAGCCAATACAAGAGACAGCAGCACCTGAAGAAGTATCAATAATTTTTCTCCCGTCTTCAGTATAAAGATAAATACCCTTTCCTTTGATAATTCTTGGTAAAATATTACCAATAATACGTGGAAGAGAATATGTGATTTTCGATGATTTAGATGGTAGTATAGCACTAGTATGAAAATATTTTTTAATACAGGTCCCTGGGATTTTATAACTAACACATATAGTGTTTGTGTTAGTGTTTTTTAAAATCATATAACGCTTAGAATTACTACTTGAATTCGTTTGTTCAT